AGTAGTAGGAGAGGAGTAGGAGTAGGAGTAGTAGTAGTAGTAGTCGTAGTAGTAGTAGTAGAAGTATTTGTATTATCAGTAGTAGCAGTAGTAGTAGTAGTAGTCGTCGTCGTCGTCGTCGTCGTAGTAGTAATGCAGTAGTAGTAGCAGTAGCAGTAGTAGTAATAGTAGTAGTAGTAGTAGTATTAGTAGTAGTATTAGTAGTAATAATAGTAATAGTAGAGGAGGAGAGAGGGTGCCCCTCACGGGACCCACCCAAAAGGCACGCAAAGCGTCGCTTGAACATGCACAAGTGGTGAAAGTGCTGGCAGGAGTAGGGAATTTGGCATTGCGGCAGGAACGCGCCTTGAGTCATACGTAACGACCATTTTCGGTGCTCAAATCTGGGCACCGAAATCAGGTTTCGGGGGTTAAAACTGGACTCTGTGCGGTCTACCGCGACGGTTTTTTTCACTTCAAGGCGTCGCAGTGGCAGAGGACGTCACCCACCATTTGCCACAAGTCTTGCTGAGCATTCCGGTGTCACTGGAACCCTTTCACACGTTGCTTAATCGCCTTTTGGCGCTGAGTCTGCACCCCATAGAGAAATTCTTCATCCATGTCCAAAGGCCATCCAGGCCGCAAGTTCCAGCAAGCACTGTCTTCAGACCCTTTGAAGGCAGTTCATGCTTGCACAACTTTGTCCACTGAAGAACGCCCTTCTTTTGAGGCCGACTGTGTTTTCACACTATCCAGACTGGCACCCAGGGTTTTCTTTAAAGCTAGCCTAGGCCCCATTTACGTGCCAATTAGATTTAGGGTCAACGTGCCTGCTCGCAAAACGAACACACTCCGACTTGGTTAGGGTTGCGGAGAAACCTTCCCTAACGGCCGCCTTGTACAAGAAGCTCACCCCTCATCCCCCACTCATGGGCTTACGGATGTCTGTCTACACACGCAGGAGCATGGCAGCGGCAGCAGCAAACGCAGCGGCAACAATATTAAAAAGGTAGGTCCAGTAAGTATCTTGTCGTGCCGGGGAAGTTACCCCCCCTTTCCAGCCCCACCCAACCCCCAGCTGATCATCCTGAATGCGCTAAAAAGGTGGGTCCAGCAAGGACTAGTAGTAGTAGTAGTAGTCGTCGTCGTCGTCGTAGAAGAAAAAGAAGGATTTAAGAGTAGGATGAAAGGAGGTGCCGGTATTCGTAACATTTCGTATTTAATTCAATTCCAGATGGTCACCTCATTCGCCTGCCAGGAGCTGGTCGATACGTCGCTCTCACCTCAGAGAAAGGGAGGAATGGATCCAATGGTCCGACGGCAGCCCCTTTAACAATCTTTATGGATATCGTAGCTTGTGTGCATGCCTGCCTAGAACAAGGGAAGTATGCCAAAAAAACAATCTCAGCCAACCCTTAACCCACCGGACTAGTTAAAGTGGCCCTAATGGGCGGGACGCACTGGCCGAAAGGGCGGCCAGCCTGACTGAAAGGGCATGAATAGAATCAAGCTGGCAATGCTGCTAGTAGAATCAAGCACAGCTTTCTGGCGAGCTTTTCGATCATTCAGCTAGGACTCCCTGCGTGTTGGAGAGTTTCACCTGTCACTTTCCCAGTCAAACATGATGTCTTTCAAAATTAAATGGCTAGCACCTCACATGCTGATCATTTGGGGAGTCCCAAACGTGGCCTCGAAATCAGGTGAAGCCCCTGGCTCCTGACGATGAGGCACTGGAGCTCTAGCGGGTTGGTGCGTGTTGTGGATCGTAATCATCAAGATCCACGCTGCACGAGAGGATGGGGAAAGCTGGATTTCATTGCATCCACAAGGAAGGGTCTGCAGCTAAGATGCTGCCTGCAACGTGTGGAAGCCTAGAGTTTGCAGCGAGATGGCTGTTCTGATGAAGAGTCAAAAGCGCGGCGACATGGTGCAAAGACAGCATAGCCGGTTCATTTAAGTATGATGCTTAAGCATGACTTCAGTAACATGCACGTTCCTAATCTTCGCTAGTTGAGGTGAGCCCGTCCTGCCTCGCCAGCATTTCCGCAGCTCTGGCAGAGACTGAGGCCTTGCTGGCAAAGAAGCGTTAGAACTTTCTACAAATCGCAGGTGTGCATGCGTGCGTAAATCATGGAACCCCACATTCGATCTTTGAATGCATGTTTATACGTGAGTCACCGCTGTTTCCGCAGACAGAAGTGTTTGCTTTAAGTCAAGCATGTTACAGGCAGTCCTTCACACCATCAACCCGTATGATGCCCAGTGCTCCTGACGCAGAGCTGGAAGTGTTCCAAGTTCAGACTTGGTTGTCACTGACAATGTGCATTGGAGGGGTTCATGGGGGGCTTCCAGTCTCTGTGAATGCTGAGTCTGCTCAAGTTGGTCATGTTGTGGTTGCGATGCACGGGAGAAGACTCCTGATTCGCAGCAAAAGAAGACGCAAAATCAGGGCCTGACCGCAGCCGCTTTAAACAAGCCGTCTTTAAACCCGGCTTTTCTATATTTAGACTCAGAAAGCTATGGCAGCGCCAAGCACGGAGCCTTGACTGAAAGTCATTGCGGAACGCTGGCGTGGCATGCATCAGCATAAGGAAGCGTTGAGCAAGAGTTGCACGCTGAGGAAACACTTAAGATCGCCGATGGCACCACCATGGACACTCTTGCGGTGCAATTAGGTAGATTCCGAGAATCCGTGTTCTCAAAGGCAAAGTTGTTCTGTCCATTAGGAAATCACTCGACTGCCCGACATTGATGACGCAACTTGGGCTGAGGCTGGACTGAGTTGCTCAGGGCTAGCCTGGTCCTGACAATGAAATGCTCCCTGTAGGTGAAGCAGTACGTGGAGAGCCAGCTCGGCTGCAAGCAGAGGGATGTTCTTTCCACCGTATAGCTTCTTCAATGCTCCGCAGTGTGCAACATTCAAACTCTGGATAGTCCTCCAGGCAATCCTGAAACGGCAAAATCGCTTCAGAATTTTGCGAAAAATCCCGAGGCGGCCGCTTCACGTGCTATCAGTTCCCAGGCAGCAGATGCTACGCATTTGATGTTTCAGGCGATGCGTGGCTGGCTTCAAACGCAGGCCATTGCGGAGCATTACAACACGCTCGTGCCTTACAGTCGCCTTCAGTGATAGCGAGATCATTGAAATATCTTCCCGTCTCTTCACTAAGGACAAGAGGGTTTTTCAGACGACAAGTATTGCCCAAAACGTGACAAAAGCATCAATAACACGAAGGAAGGTTCAATGAAAAGAGGTTTCAGATCAGACCTGAGGAAGCTCACCAGTGGAGATGAGCCTGTCCAGGAGCTTTGGCAGCGCCAAGAGCGTGCGAAGACTGCACATTTTCCCCTTATATATGTGAGATACAGCTTACCCCTAGAATGTGTCTGGGAACGATTCCAGAGCGGACTTACTAATACAAACTGTACTGAAACCTGTTGTGAATTCCCATTTTTGTTTCGTTTCTTATCCTTAACTAGCTCATCTGAAAGCGAGCAGTTCAAACGCACATATCTCCCGTGGTGTCGATTGTTACCAGGTTTTCAAAAGTCATGCTTCTTTCCATTCGCGCTGGCTGCCGTTAGTACCATGTAGCAGTGTTCCTCCTCCACATGCGATCTTGCCATCACCGCCACCACCACCGCCGCCGCTGCCCCCACCACCACCACCACCGCCGCCGCCGCCGCCGCCACCCACAACACAAGCTACTACTGCTCCCGCTGCCATAGTGAGCTTCCGGAGGTGTGATGCATGGTGACAGGATCGCGTCAAGTCCTTGGAGCAGGATCCTGAGCTGAAGGAGATGTTCGAGGACTGTTTTGCAGAGTTCTCTGAGTGAGTGCCCATAGGGGGTTGCTGAAGAACAAGCGGTCCCACTGCTTTTAGCTGGAGCATGTTCATTCCTGGTACAGAGATCCCTGAAAGTTCCCGTCGCTTCCATTTCCAGACATCGTCTGAAAAAGTCATGCTTCGTCGTTGCAGGATATCAAGAAGAATGGCATGGAAGCTGCCATGAAGTACTACCAGGATCTTTGACAACTCAGGGCAGACTCCTCACCAGTTTCATGCAGGTCCTCCCCGCATCAGGACGAAAACTTGATGCTGAAGATATCTCAGAAGATGGGAGGGCTTCCAGAAGACCTCCAACCTGTCTTAAGGAAGATTGAGGACCCACGGCAGCCTTCCAATCACTTTCCGTCTGCGCAGTGTGTAGGTCTCTGTTGCTCAGGAGACTCCTCTTACGCTGCACGAGGTCGGAATACTGCAGCATTCTATGAAACCACTGCTTCTTCACGTTTATTGCTTGGAGGCAGCAAAGAACGGTGACGTCAAAGCCGTGCAGGACAATGGGCCACACCTGTTCGCATTTTGTTGCAGGGTTTCGCGGCTCATCAGTGCGCGTGCCAAGGGCAAACATTCTTGAGGTTCGGCTTGACAGCTCGGGCCTCCCAGCGGCTTGCGAAGAAACAATGGGCAGTGCTTCTGAGTGGGCTGCGCCATGGAGCAAGAAGAGATGTTGCTGATTAGAGCCTACTAGCTCACAGGACTTTCTGCAAAAGAAGAAGCCCTTGGACTCCCAGGCGATCTTTGCTGGAGTCTTTGGCTTCCCTACTGCAGATAAGCACAGCAGCAACAGCTGCTTCTTGCAACAGGACCACAAGGGCATCACGGCGCTGGGATATGCCATTGGCTCCAACCGAATTGCTGTGGCTGCTTATCTGCCAAGAGTGCACCCACTAAAGACCTCTGTAGTCCTCAAGTGGGCAATTTCTCCGATTGTAAATGTCCAGCCGTGCATGGTGGAAATCTTGCACAAGGATCCCCAGGGTAATGAACATCCCATGAAAGCCTAGGTGAAGCTGCTCCTGGACAGCAGGGCAAACCCATTTGCAGTGGACAGCAATGGTCCGACTCTTAGAGCCGACAGCGATTGGTCAGGTTTGTTCCAAGCTTGTGATGTGAAGGTCTTTCAAAAAGTGGCGGTCCCTGTGTAGTCTTTTGCATCATACATGGGGGACCCCTGTTTTGGGAAACTCTCATGGACTTCTCCGCAGTAGACGGCATCAGGCATGTCTGTGTTTCATGAAAATGAAAAGTTGAGATTAACAAGCGCAGAGTAAAGAGATCAGAACACCTTGCCAGAACAAGTTGGCCCCCCAGCTGATGGACGCACAGAAAGGTGCGCAGAGTGGTAAAACGAGGGATTTGAACACTCAGCTTAGGCAACAGCGGGCTCCACTACTCAGCCGGCTACGGCCGAAAGGAGCTTCTTGAGTATCTGCTGAAGGCACTTCGCCTAAACAGATTTCAGGAGTCCCCAGCCGCCCCACCCACATGTAGGTGGGCATCAATGTCAACCAGCGGAACGCGCAGGGACAGACGCCGTTAGCGGTTGCGCAGCTTAACAAGCAAGAGGCTGGCAGGGCAGCGGCTTGGCGGCTTTGCCATCAGCTGACGGTCTGGGGCAGGCGACCGTTGAACTTCTGCTAGCCCACGGTGCCCAAGCATGACGTGGAGGCCCTCGGTTCTCCATGAATGAACTGTCACTGCCATTTTGCCTGGACGATGGCCTGTGCGCGTAGGTTTCTTTCAAGCTGTCATCCGTGCTGAGCCTTGGCTGCAGGGCAGTATTCACGCACAGGCAATTCTGGCTTGTGCTCATGCTGAGCACGAAGGCGCGCAAAGCTTGTACAGAGATGTGCTGGCGTGATGGCAAGCTTCCAAGCAATTGTGTTTGAATTGAAATATCTTTTTCCACTCCTCTCGGAGTTTGCGGGCCGGCAGGCAATTAAGCAAAGAGTTCGGCCCTTCGAATCTTTTCAAGTTTTTTCCAAGCCTGCTCTGGCTGGCTCGTCGGTGACAAAGAACGTCGTTTGCACCTGAGCTTGGCAGAGCCTGGACACGTGTACAAAGCTACGAACTGGGTGCAGCTGTTGGGGAGTTGCTACCGCGTCATTGTTGATTCTGGTTGTGGGTCGACCAGATAACTGCTCAACAGCACGCAGGCGTCCCAATGTGCATGCAGTTCCGTCTTGTCGGTAGCTCTCATTTTTTGATGAAGTATAGCACTGGTGACTGGTGGAGACACGAAAACGTTCTGGCGCACATTATAGAGCCCCCTTCTTCTCAGGGTTGAGTTCGTGGCAAGTTACCCATTTCAACATGGGCTGCAAGCCAGGAAATGGAGGCCACTGTATCTGCAAGCAACTCCTGTTGAGAGGCTGTTAAGATATGGAAGCAGCAACTCCGGGCTGTTCTTCAGGAGGACATGTTGCTGCATTGCTTCCAATCGGTGCGTCTTGCAGAGTCACCATTGCAGCTGCTCGGATATCGGCAGTGACAGGGTAATGACACCAGCCAAGGTCAGCGGATGCGTTCTTCCTTTGCCCTGGAAACCAGCTTGCCGCCGCGGCGGAAGCTTTGATTGGCCGCTGCCCAAGCCACGAATTTTCATTGGAGTCGAGGGATCACAAGCTGTTCTTGCAGGTGCTGGCTGTGGCTTTTGTCTGGAAGGTTGGATGCTTGGAATCACCAACGCCTCCTCTTCAGTATAATATGAGCATCCGCTACCAAGGTTAGAGCAGGGAGTGATTTGTGGCTTGTATCAGTGTTGAGCACAGCTACTCGTAGCGCTATCACATACTCTAACTCTGGTATTGCGCGCAGTTGGTTGAATAGTGTTATGTTAGCCAGGTTGCATTTTGGTTAGAAGAACTCAGGAACGGACTTTTTCAAGAATCCCGGACCCCCAGCTCGGCTGTCGGAGCCCAATTTTCCAGTCTTCGGGTGCAATGCTGGAGGAGCTTGCCTACGGTCATGCGACTCTGCAAGGGTATATAGCTTTGAAATTGTTTCCGGGGAGCAGTTTTATTGTAGTAAGGTTCATCTCGAAGATAGGGGTGTATCAGTGGGATCTGTAATTTTTAAAAGACGTCTCAGTGCTGGCACAGCCTTGAGCAAATCAAGCCCGAACGGCTCAGAACAGGAGAATGCCAAGTGACTCACCAAACAGTCCGCAATCCACGCGTTTTACACGACAGTGTGCTGTAATGCACTCTTATTCTACACCTGCGCCTGCTCCTACTACCTCTGCTCCTCCTACTACTGTACTCATTTCTCCTCTACCTATGACTACAACGAGGATTGCTACTGATAGTTATGATGGGTCCAACCCTTATTATGACCGTTGTTACAAGATGCCCAGTAGGTTCATGATTGGAGCCACGATGGATCTCTTCTGCGGCGCAAGTCGACCAGCATGGCGCAAGGCGTCTCCATCCCTGCTAGTCCGGGAGGCTCGTCTTCAGCATTGGGCAAAGGGCTGGGCACTAAGGGATGCGATCTAGATGAAACCCCGAGCTGGTACTCGATCCATCTCAGAAGTGGGGGCCTACAGCATATGAGCAAAATGCCGTCAGGATCCTGCTTCCAAGCCCAGTGCAAAGGTCTGGCCCTCCAGACCCTTTTCTTGGAGGGAGAATTTGTGCTTTCCTTGGGAGAGGTTGCAGGTTTCGACCTCAATGACACTTTGGTCTCGAGCAAGATCGGGGCACCAGGTGCCTCTGCCAGTTGCTTGATTGCCAAGAAGCCGCCTCAGCTATGTGAGGATACCAGGTCACAGTTTCTGACTGGATTTTCTACAACGGAGCGTTTGCGGACACAGTTTGCTCTGTACTGCTACAGCATGATGCTTGTGGGGGATTCTACGTTCAGCTTTGGTGCCGAGGGTTCCGCGCAAACTGGCGGAGTTGCATGACCAGGGCTTCAGGCAGCAGCTTAGCAGCTTAGCAGCTTCTTGTGCAGCCTTGCCAGCTGAATTGAGACAGGCTTGTGGTGTTCACCAACCAGGGGAACATCAGGCCACACACCTCACACTTGGGCTTCCCACTGCTTCCCTTCGAAATCCTAGTGCCCAGGGGTGCCCTGGATGGAAAGCGTTCCGTGGCCTTCAAGGGCTATGTTGCAGCTGGGGCATAACATTCACACGAAGAGTCTTTTCCATTTGGTTCACACCGTCCCTGAGGATGACTTCGCAAAGAAGCTGGGGTTGCCATTGCTTGCTGGGACCTTAGCCTGTAACACACGCTCTACCGCATTGTCTGCCACAAGCTGTGCCTTGCAAGGTCATGGCATCAACGCAGCGTGACAAGTACCGCAAGCCAAATACTGGTATGTGGGAACACCTTGCAAAGGCCATCTGCATTTACCAGTTTACGTTGCAGTCTTGCAGGATACAGGTAACGCGAATCATTTGAAATCTCCGTGGGACCAAGCACAACTTCACTTGGTGCGGTCACATGGAAATTCACGGGACCTTGCACAACGATCGACGAACATATGTTCTGGCAGAGGCAAATGGCATACCAATAAACCTCGCCGACAGTTTCTTCATCGGCGATGCAGCAGGCTCATCCTTTGCATTGAGGAACGCATGCACTGAATGCCTGGTAGCTTCCGGCAAGGCCAGGTGACTTGACATGCATTTCTGACTTCCTGACGGCTTAGAGGTGGGGAAGGTGAGCATTCGGCCGACGATGCTGACTTTGCCAAAGCCGTCGGTGTCAGGCGCTGAATGGTCCCCAAACGAATGCTTGATAGCCCTCAACTTCACGGGTCTGTGGCTTGGGATTAGCTTTGCAGCGGCGCCAGGTTCAATGCCTCCCACGAAACATCGGGATTGTCTGGCTTCAAGAGTAGAGAGCTTTGCCCCCTTAGTATAGGCTTTGCCTAGAAAGCCAGTGTCGTTCGTGCATGTCATCCGGGGACAGCGGATGGCAGAGAGACAAGAGTGCGATTGCCAGTATCACGATGCTCTTCGTGCCGAGTGTACAATTCTGATCTCTCGCCCCTAATCTGACACTCTCGTGACTTTGCGGAGGTTCACGCATGCTCGTGATTTTTTCGGGCCCGCTGGCGATGGAGGCTTGAACCCTGCGATGCAAGTATCTGAAGCTTGCCATGCTGGAAAGGAAGATGCAGCGGCTGACAAAGTTGCTTGTTAGAATCGTGACACAACTCAAGGTGCCACAGAGGGCCCGCCGAAGAAGGCTCCATCAAGCGAGTGCTTGTCCTGGTAGTCGACGCTGTTTGCTTGAGGTAGCTCGGATCGGCGGCCTGTGTGATTCCTTGGTGAAATCGCCAGGGAAGCTAACATTTGCGGAAGGAACGGAGCTAGCAGCTAGTAGACATAGTATGATATGGTGAAATCTTGCAGGCAGCACCATGCCCTGGGAGGCAGTCGGCCAGACCCGCCGGTACTTCTGATCCTCGTGGGTCTGCCGGGTTGCGGGAAGTCAACCTTTGCCGAACGCCTTGGCCCACCAGCAGGCGACGACAATCCTACATTGACGCCCAATGACAGCCTTACTTCAAAATGGGTTTTTAAGAAGACCTGTGAAGGATTATGTCTTGTCTTGGAAAGGCTCGGAGGAGCGAACGTCCCCTTGGCGGCGCCGCGCCCTTGAGAAATTGCCCAGCACATCCTGAGGCTTAGGACTTGCTGCAGAGTGTGCACAGGACTCTTAAGTTGGTATTTCCCGTATATTGTGACAGTAGATCATGTTCTTTGCTTTGTCGAGGTGTCTGCCAGGACTTGCTGCGCAGCCGCTGCCCTGGGAGCTGTGGTCAGCCTCTGTGTGGAAGTCGTGTTGCTGAGGTAAGGAAGCATGTGCTCGAGAAGCCGCTAAGTGCTTGAGCCAGGCCCCCCACAAATGGCTCTGCTTCTGCCATGAGATTTCCTCAGGGCTAGGAGTCTTGTGGGGAGGAAAGGAGGCTGACGGTGTCCCAATTGGTGCCCATTGAACTTGTCAGGGATGCTCCGTGACCATCGATCGCACCAACATCAACTCAGAGCCTTGACCTTTGCTAGCAGACCCACAGGCGACTGCAAGTTTTAACCCAAAGATGCAAGCAGCCACAGAAGGTTGGATTTCGGTAAATCTTTGTGACCAGTCGTGACCTGACAAGGAGCAGCGAGCTCCGTGGATATCACTAGCGGCTGCACAGGTCGGGTGCCGACTGCTCAGCAAAAACCAGGCTGAGAAGTATCCAGTCATGATCACAGCCAGGGTGCTACTTGCCATGCGCTCATTTTCGATGTGCCGCTGGAGGAGAAGAGTAGCGGCATGATGAAGCAAGTATCTGTCCATGGCGGCAAGATTGGCACAGGGAAGCCGAGAGTCCGAGGAGTGTTGCCGACGTGCCCAGACTCGCGAGCATCACGAGGGTGGCCTTAGGCTGTCCGTCCTAAACCCTAAACCATACACCCCCTAAACTCTATAAACCCTACTCGTAAACCCTAAAGCCATGAGCACTCTTCGCTTCTTTCAACGCGTGTCCGGGCAGAGCTGCCAAGCCAGTGCAGGGGTGGAAGCGTACGACTCGTTGTGTCAAAGCTCAACAAAACCATGCAGCCAGCCGGAGCCTCACAGCGTCTCACAGCGTATCGCTTCTTGGGGCGTCTGTTTCAATCAGTCCTAGGTGTCTGGCGATGAGGCGCAGGCAGTGAAATCGGAGCGTTTGCGTGAGGGATTCTGCCATTTCTACCCTCCCCACGACTAAGGCCATTCTGCTGAGCAGCCCTACGTTTCCCACTGATTTTGTTCCTGCACTTCTTTTCGGTTGCAGTCGGGCCGTGCCACTTCTAATGGCTCCAAGTACATCCTTAGCATTCAAAAAACTGCAGGAGTTTGCCTTGCCAAGGACATTGCTGAAACAGTTTCCAGGCTCTCCATTGTGACGCTGGAAAGGTAAGGTAAATGACTTAAATGACCTGCAAATGGTGCTGGGCTCGAAAGCTGCAGTTTCCAGAGCCTCACCGTGTTTAGAAGGGTAACGATTCTCCTTGAGGCAGCAGGCAACAAACGGAACCTGAAAGCTGGGACCACTGTAAGTCAAAAACTCGCACTCTCGAGCATGTCTTCAGGGCTTCTCACGGATCCGCATCGTCAAAACGGACGCAGAGCTCGAGGAGGAAGCTCGCTACTACATGGCCAGCGAGGCCAGCGAGGCGATTCCATTGTCATGAACCTGAGAGACAGGCAGAAGATGGCAGAAGTCTGTGTCGCCATGGTTTTTGTCTTCAGACGGGGCTGTTTCTAGCTCAAGCCGAAGCAAATCTGGGCGCTCCAAGTCCAGCTGTGAGGTTCATAGACTCGGTCGAACCAGGGCTTACCCTACCCTTGCTGTGGGACGCTTTGTTTTCGCAATGGCAACAGGGAAGTCTGTCATTGTCCCGCTGCACTTTTCTTCAATGTCATACTGCAACCAGCAGCTTCGCTGATGACAAGCATTGCGACTTCACTTGTGATGCATCTCCTGACGCAGAATGCCATGGCGTTGCAATGCTCTGTGCTTACACGGATGCCAAGACGCTGCGCCTTTCAAGGCTGGGTGGTCATAAGAGCACACATTAGCTAGTAGAATGAATTCAAAACCTCACTGCAATATGTGCAAGCTATCATGGAGGAAGAACAAACAGTCATGGCGTGTCATAGTAGTGCTTGATGAAGATATGGAATCAACGTTCCGTTTGGCGCAGGCAGGACGCCGGAAAGGCAGCAGAAGCTGGAGATTGAGCCAGGACTACTTCTGAAGCCCTCTGGTCTGTACCCTGGCTCAAAAGTCCCGGCCCCAGCCACATTGGGAATTGTCGCGTCCAGCCAAGAAAACTATCCTGGCACCAGAGCTGATCACAAAGGCACGGTACGGGGGTCTTCACCTCCCGTGCGTTTGCGGCAAGAGAGGTACTTGAAGTATGCCCATGCCTGTGGATTGCGTGCCTGGCTTCAACTAGGCTTTGAGATTTTAGATCGGCTTCCAAGCGTGTTCATAATGAGAGTGAGTGCTTGAAGCACGCTTATATAGACCCTCTGGTGGAGGAAAGCATCTCTGTCCACCTTCCAGCCTCAAGAAGCCGGTGACGCTGAATTGCTGGACTACTTGTTCGATTCAAAAGGTGGGCCGGGCACCTATCTGCACCCGGCTTTCCCTGGCGTTGCTTCTGTTTTTTGCCCAGTTTTTGCGATTACAGCTACTGCCTGCGACGACAGCGACGCCGACAGAGACGGGCGACAGCGACGACTTGTCCTGTACTATTATTCCGACACGACGAGTGGTGCTGGTGCTGGTGCTGCTGG